CTCCCTGCCGCTCGCCTTCGTGTCGCCGTAGACCGAGAACTTCTTGAAGGCCACGAAGAGCGGCTCCGTGTCCGAACTGACCGCCATGATGGTCAGTCAATGCACCGTCACTCTGAACAGAACCCTGCTGGCAACAGGAAGTAGGCAGAAGATCTCAGAAATCAAAGCATTCAATAACAGATCAGAAACAAAGACTCCATTAGTCTAACAGCAGTTCAAGAACCAGAAAACGTTTCTAAGGTTCTGGGCTCCATAGAACCATAGAACAACCATGGTCCTCACCCGGACCAGAACCTCCTACAGAACCTCTGTCATTTCCGGAACATCTGGTTTGATCCAGTCACCAACAGGTCCAGTTCTGATTGGTTCTGGTGCCATTAAAGGTGAATAAGATGGATTCAGTTGATCCACACCGTGCAGCCAATCAGATGACCTCTTCCTGGTGTGACAGGTGTGTGTGTGTGTGTGTGTGTGTGTGTGTGTGTGTGTGTGTGTGTGTGTGTGTGGGGATGTGTGTGTGTGTGTGTGTGTGTGTGGGGATGTGTGTGTGTGTGGGGATGTGTGTGTGTGTGGGGGGGGGGGGATGTGTGTGTGTGTGTGTGTGGGGATGTGTGTGTGTGTGGGGATGTGTGTGTGGGGGGGGGATGTGTGTGTGGGGGGGGGCGGGGGGATGTGTGTGTGTGGGGGGATGTGTGTGTGTGTGTTTTCTCAGTGTGTTTTAGCTTCTCTTCAACAACTTCTTGTTAATCCATATTATAATCCCATATCCTCACATATGAAACCATCTCAGACCCAATTGGTCCCGATGTTCCTACCAGAACCCTCTGGTACCAGACTGCTGGTACTGGAGGTTCTGGTTGCAGTGGGGGGTGGATCCATCAGTCCCAGGTTATTTGCTGGAGGTTTCTTCCTGTTAAAGGGAGTTTTTCCTGTTTTGTCGCCCCCTGCTGGCCAGGTGGAATGATGCTCTGCTGGGTTTCCTTTGACAGAAATTTGAATCAGTTTGAATACTTAATGAACTGATATTTCTGTAAACTCTCTTTTCGAAATGTTGCAGCACTTTGTTGCCTTCAGGGTTTGATTCCTTTGTCCAACAGGAATCCTGCATCAGTTCTCTCTTGGTTCTCCAGCTGTCCAATCACCACAGAGCTTCATCAAAAAAAAACCAATCAGTGTCATCAGGTGAGGAAGATGAAGAGCAGTAAGAAAAGAATTGATTTCATTGAATGAAATCTTTGCAACAGTGATTTGTTCTTTCCCTTCATCACATCTCTGACCAACACAATCATTATATTCTCACCAGCCCGGTTCAGTCCTTTTGTTTAGAAAATCCGGTCCAGTTGGTGTGAATGCTAATCGACCTCTGACTTCTGACCTCTGGTCCTCCAGACCTTGGTCTGGGTTCGGTTGAAGTGAACTCTGGTTTGGTTTGAATGTGAACGGCAAGTGGATCAGAGAATGTTCCAAAAGCAGGAAGTGGACTACAGCACAGGGCATTCTGGGCAAATCCAACCAAAACTAACATGCTAGCCTAGCGCTAGCAGCAGAAATGGCTCCTGGTCTTCAGCCAAAGACTAAAGAGAAATCCTCCAACACTAAACTCTGACGCCTCCATCTTGTTTCATCTGGTGAAACAGGAAGTTGCACTCAGTGTCTTCAGAGGTTTTAGTGTTGTTTCCTGCAGTGGTTCTTGGTGCAGCGCCCCCACAGGCCAGGAGGGGAACAGGCTGGTTGGACTCAGAACCACTGCAGCTGGAGATGTTAAATGTTCTGGGTCAAGTAGAACCGGGTCGACTGGACAGAAGGAGGAAAACATCATGAGTTGGAGCCACTGACCAGAACAGAACCTCTCTGCAGTCTTCTGACCCAAATGGACCTCTTCACCACTTCACCAGAACTATATGGACCCTTCCTTCCCCCACATTAAATGGTATCATATTAAAGCAGATTCATGACCTCTGACCTCTGCAGATTAATTAATGAGTTATAGAATGTCACAGCTGTAGAATTGGGCTAAGAAGGTAAAGAAGGACATCAGAGCACTGGACCAGTGGAACTGGACCGAGACCAGAACCCAGCAGACATTTGTCATCATAAAAATCACACTGCAGTTTGGATTAAAAAAATAATTCATAAGATCCTTCTGGCTGTTTTGTTGCAGTGATAACAAAACAGCCAGAGCATATGATGGCAAACCCTGACACACACTCACACATTCACACACACACACACACGCACACACACACACACATTCACACACACTCACACATTCACACACACACACACATTCACACACACACACACACACTCACACATTCACACACACACACGCACACACACATTCACACACACACACACACGCACACACACACACATTCACACACACTCACACATTCACACACACACACACTCACACATTCACACACACACACACTCACATTCACACACACTCACACACACACACATTCACACACACTCACACATTCACACACACACACTCACACACACACACGCACACACACACACACATGCACACACACACACACATGCACACACACACACACACACACATACATACACACATACACTCACATTCACACACACTCACACACACACACATTCACACACACTCACACATTCACACACACACACACTCACACACACACACGCACACACACACACACATTCACACACACACACATACATACACACCCACACACACACACACACACACACACACACATACATACACACACACACACACACACACATACATACACACACACACACACACACATACATACACACACACACACACACACATACATACACACACACACACACACACACACATACATACACACACACACACATACATACACACACACACACACACACACACACACACATACATACACACACACACACACACACACACACATACATACACACACACACACACACACTGTTTTAATCCAGTTTTCTCTGCAGCAGTCAGATGCTTGGCGAAGCAGCAGTTCTCAGGTCCGATGGTTTCTGAAGACCAGAACCCAGCAGGTCTACCAGGAAATCCTTTCAAGGTAAAAGCTTCAAAAACTGAAATAAGGTCAAAGTTCAAACCTGAGCTCCTTGATGTCTCACGTCCTCCTGCGTCTGTCTCCGACTGTCCTCTGGTTCGAGGCTCCGAGGCGCTTGTTATCGTCTGTTTACCCCGTCGCCATGACGCCAGCCTGTCCCACATCAGGGGAGGGGCAGTGAGGCAGAGGAGGAAGAGGAGGAGGACGAAGCCGGGCAGCTCCCAGTGCTTCAGGTCAGAGGTCAACACACACACGTTCCCTTGATGAAGCCACAGTGAGGCACAATGGATTCAAACTGATGGAAACATGATGAGGTCAGAGGTCACATTCTGTTCCTTGTGAAGCAGAATAATCAATAGGTTTGATTATTTGCTCCTTCATCAATCAGCAAAAAAACCCCAAGTTTGTAAACGGGAACGTAAACATCTGTGGGAAATTGAAGCTCTTGAACTTCCTGATGTCCCACAGCTGTTGCTGTTTGTGTGTCCATCGCCATGACAACCATGATCCACATTAAGACTGTAAACATGCGAGAGAAAACGAGTTGATGAAAAAATCAATAAAAATAATTACGGCTCAGTTATCCAGTTAATTATTGAACCAAACAATTGTTGAAAACACCTGATAAGCTTCATTTGATCCACATACAGCTGCTATCGTAGCTAGCTAAGCTAACGTGCTCCAGTACCCTGGACCTAAACCCAGATGCTGTCCTGGAAGGCGAGAGGACGGCCATGATGGAGGACGGCCGTGATGGAGGACGGCCATGATGGAGGACGGCCGTGATGGAGGACGGTCATGATGGAGGACGGCCATGATGGAGGACGGTCATGATGGAGGACGGCCATGATGGAGGACGGCCATGATGGAGGACGGCCGTGATGGAGGACGGCCATGATGGAGGACGGCCATGATGGAGGACGGTCATGATGGAGGACGGCCATGATGGAGGACGGTCATGATGGAGGACGGCCATGATGGAGGACGGCCATGATGGAGGACGGTCATGATGGAGGACGGCCATGATGGAGGACGGTTATTATGGAGGACGGCCATGATGGAGGACGGTCATTATGGAGGACGGCCATGATGGAGGACGGCCATGATGGAGGACGGTCATGATGGAGGACGGCCATGATGGAGGACGGTCATTATGGAGGACGGCCATGATGGAGGACGGCCATGATGGAGGACGGTCATTATGGAGGACGGCCATGATGGAGGACGGCCATGATGGAGGACGGTCATTATGGAGGACGGCCATGATGGAGGACGGCCATGATGGAGGACGGCCATGATGGAGGACGGTCATTATGGAGGACGGCCATGATGGAGGACGGTCATTATGGAGGACGGCCATGATGGGTCACTTTTAAGCGTCCGTCCTACCAGCCTGCAGGGTAAGCATTTTCAGATAGAGGATGGATGGACGTCTCTGTCCACCAGTCTTTGCTGATCCAGTTTTTCCTGCTCTCTGTCTGTCAGGCGTCTCTTTGTGATTTTTAAACTGTAATAACGCAACTAGAGATTATTATGGTCTGGATGTGTCTGAAGGATGGAGTAACTATGGAAACCTGTCCTCCTGTTGGCCGTCACGCCTCATGCACTCTTTACAAACCGCAGCCTGGCTGTGTGTGTGTGTGTGAGTGTGTGAGAGTGTGTGTGTGTGTGTGTGAGAGTGTGTGTGAGTGTGTGAGTGTGTGTGTGTGTGGGGGGGTGTGTGTGTGTGTGTCACATTCTTTTCGCTGCCCCTCCTTTGTGAGTGACGTTGTTTTGATGTTGTTGGAGGCTGGTTGCCAGAGCAACCGCTCCTCATCCAGGGAGGATGATGACATGCAGCAACACACCCCAATGATATCAGCCTGTCAAAATAAAAGCCTCTAGTGTTGCCTGTGACTGACAGATCATATTGGTTGGCTTTAATGTGTGTGTGTGTGTGTGTGTGTGTGTGTGTGTGTGTGTGTGTGTGTGTGTGTGTGTGTGTGTGTGTGTGTGTGTGTGTGTGTGTGTGTGAACCATGTATCAGATGCATTGAGGGGACCCACTGCACCTGGTGGGCCCCATGAGGGGAGATGTTGGTTTGGGTTTTGAGTTTGGGTCAAAGGTTAGAAAAAAATGGAAAGACAGAGACAGAACCCAGCAGCAGGACGTGATGTGGGCCGGTTCTGGTGGAGCTGGGTGTCCTGTGGTTCTGAGCAGTCAGAACCAGAGGTCTGGTTTTAATAAAGGTCAGGACCTTTGGGTGTCAGGATGCAAAGTTCAGCTCAGCTTTTAGATTCAGAAGTTAAGCTGAAATGGGTTGGTTCTGAAGGTTCTGGTTCAGATGCACTGAGAACAGAACATTCTCTGAGAATTTGACACAAATTCTTCCTGAGGTTTTCAGTCATCATGTTGTTGACCTTTGACCCCAGATGGCTTGGTTGGTGTGAAGGTGAAGCCCAGAGCGTTCTGACAGAACTTCCTGTGTCGTCCACTGAGGGACAGCTCAGAGCTGTGGACTCGGACCCCTTCTTTTATGTTCTCTTTGTTCCTCTGTTAGTTGGAAACCTCGGTGACCCCGCAGCCTGAGCGAGGCTGCAGGTCAGAGGTCAAAGGCCTTTCCATGCCGCTTGCTCTTCGGCTCTCTTCCTCTATCTCTGAATGTTTTGCGTTTTCATGTAAATGTGTTCTGTAAAGAACGTATGGAAATCAGTCCAACCTTTTCTGCTACGATTTTCCTTTCATTAAACTTTCCATTAGTATTATTGCATGCAGCAACCCAGCTGGTTCAGTAAAATGATGTTTTTTGGTTGTGATGAAGAGGATTGTGCGAGTGTGGCGTTTATTGCAAACAGTGACATCACACAGATGACTCCGCCCCCTTGCTTCTCAGATTTAAAGGAACAATTCACATCCACACATTCAGACTTCAGGTCAGAAGCAGGAAGATGAAGAGAAGAGGCACAGCAGAGTAGAAACAACCTTTGACCCGGAAGCAGTGTTCTGCAGTTCACATTTTCACCAAATATATTGGTCCAGTCTGAGTGATCACCTTGATCCGTTTCAACTGAACCCACTGAACGGCGTCCGATCCGACGGGGTTGAAACTCAGAGGAAGTCACCTTGGCTTTCAAATTAAAAGTCTTGCCCACCAATAAATACACATAACCTTTCACAATAAAAGTCCCTTTCCAACAGCAGTTGTTGTGTCAAGTCAGAACTCGGTCCTCGAGGCTGGACCACAACCAACGAACCCGGTCAGGACTCCAGAAGCGGTCTAGACCCGATCTGCGTCCAGCCGAGAACTTCAGCCGTCTCTCTGCTGGCACGGCTGACGAACACAGATGGCGGCTGCTTTGACGCCATTTCAAACCTCAGCTGAGCAGTGGTTCTGTTCACTCGAGAGGATAGGTTCTTCTTCCTGGTCTTGTTGAGCACAGGAGCGGGTCGGTCCGGCAGGGGGCTGTGGGTCCCTCGGGCCAGACGGCGGTCCGGCCGGCGAGACGCCCCGGTGGCATCGCCGGAGGACGAGGAGCCCAGCTTGGCCAGCGCCACGGGGATTTCCTCCAGGGACTCGGCAGAATCCGAATGGTACTCGGCCGGGGGGGCGGCAGCCTGGATGGGGCCCGGGGCCGGGGTGTGTCCTGGGGGGACCCTCAGAGGCAATGGTGGGAAAGGAAGCCGCTGACCAAAGGAGGACTCTGCTGGAGAACGAAAGGACAATGGGGTCAGAGGTTAGGAACACAACTTTAGATGAACTCATCAGTAAATACTGGGGTCATCTTCAGCCATTCAACAGTTTACCATGTTTTGTTCTTCAAAGCTTTTCTGGAATAAAAAACACTGGGGTTCCCAACCTGCGCGAGCGGTTAGACCGCCAATGCAAGGCAGTCCGCTTGACCTTGTTGGAACCTTGTTGTTGGAGCCCTGTTGAAATCTTGTTGAAACCTTCAGGACCACGCTGCTACTTGGTTACACATATTCAGGTAGATTCACCTGGAGGTGGCGCTATGGTAGAAATAAGGGTTTCAGCTTTCAATTATAAAACTGAATGTTCCATTCACAAAATTGCTGTGTTCAACGTTTCTTAGAAATAGACAGATGAGCAGCTGTGCAAAAGCTTCTGCCAAGAACAGAGGAGGTGTATTCCCCAGGAACACCTCTCCTTCATAAGTAGTCGCCTCTCTGAAGACCTGCCAGTCTGTGCACTGAAAACAGTCCTGGGCCACACAGTGACTGTCTTCTTCGTTGGTCTAATCCGTCTCATCAGGGACGATATGCTGGCACCAGCAGGATGCAGATGTGGTCGTTGAGGCCAAGCTAGGGGTGAGGAAGAGCTCTGAATGTTGCTGTACACAGTCCAGAGTGTTGCCTCTGCATGTAGGAAAGGCGACATGCTGGTAAAAACTGGCCATTTTCGTCCCCTGCAACCACGTAAACTGCCTCCGTGTGCTTCATCTGCAGTGACCTAATGCTGTCATTCATACAAGTTCTTTGAAGATCCGTGATCATTTAAGAGAACAGCATTGACAAAATTCAGCATAAATGACAAGCAAGGTTAGTCATTTGGTAAATTTCCAGATTTTCACTACAAATTACCACATTTTGGACATTTTGAACATATAAAATTTATTGAACAAAGAACAACCACGCCACCTCCGTAGTGTAGTTGTCCTAACTGGCCACTTGATGGAGCCAAATGCATATTCTCTGGGCCAGCAACATTTGCATGTAGTACTTCAATTCTGCTCCATTTCAGTTCAGTGTGTTTATCTCAACTACAATCAATGTCAAATCGTTTCATCCACACATACCGCCACACCTTCACAATGAAATTTCTTTTGAAAAATTTATCTTAAAATAATGCACCTTTGAAGTTTCTTTGTTTCAAATGAGAGAGGAAAAAATCCAGTAAGATTTTAAAGAGGTCTTTAAATACAGCCAACCAAGCGTGGTGCTTTTCTCACAATCAGAAGCCATCCAATGCTTTCTATTGCTGTGACTGTCCATATGAGTAACTATCTCAGTTGTATAGAATTGAAAGATACTTTCCATGTGAACATTGTCAAAAGTTTAACAACAACTTCTGACCAGTTTTATTGTCCTATTTGGGTAGGATGACTCATAGGATAATGTCTTATTATTATGGTCCTTTTTGAGACATTTGTTTGCTGTGTTTTCTGAATTTGTTGATTTGTTTTTGTGTAAAGTGCCTTAAAATTAAATTTTTGATCCGGTGACGGGTTTCATACGTTTTTGCATTAAATCCTCTTCATATACGACACCAGCGTGTTCTTTGAAGGAGGTGATGCAAGACACCGTTTAGCTGACTGTGGAGATCAACAAGTGACCCTGGCTCACACTGGGCGTGACAGTACATTTATTTTCAAGATTCCTGCATTTGAAACCCTTCGGGTCCAAAAGCCATCCTGGAAAACGGTGAGCAGTTTGACTCAGGCAGAGCAAGGAACCCATCACAACTGCTTGCAGTTCTAGCTGTTGATATTATTATAGCAATTATTATTATCATTATAATTATATACCCGCTAAGAAAGCTTACTACAACATCTTCCATTATTGTTTGAAACCAAAGCTAATTATTTTACATCAAAACAACATGGAGTATGGGGACAGGGACAGATCTTTATATTATTCCAGATATCAACACAGTGATAAATGTTTTGTAATTTTTATGATGAACTAAAGATCAACCATCCGCACAGGACTCATTTGAGCAAAGTCTCTCCGATTAAAGCATCCTTACCTCTGCTAGAGAGACGAAGCTATTGGTGAATCTGGAAAAGCAACTGAAGTTCCCCAGCCTCATTGCTGCCTCATTGCTCAGACACACGTCCTTGTGTCTGCGGTCATCCAGCAAATCGTGCTGCTGGAGCTGACAGTCCCAGGGGAAGTTTGAACAAGAGCCTGAGAAAAAGTTCTCCAAGAACAAATGGCTGATCAGTGACTGCAAGCAGGCAGGCTGGAGAGCAAATGCTTCACATATGAGGTTGCTGCAGATTTTATGGCTGAGTCTTTGGTCAGAGTATTGAGGGAGAACGCAAGACAAGAGCCCCCCATTGCATCACTGAAGCAGCAGAGATGGCCTCAAGATGGGTGCGGCTTAAGAGAGAATTGTGGAGTCAAAGTAGCTAATTAGCCATCTGGATAAAAGCAGGGACTGAACATCCCTGGATGGGTCACCTGGAAGAGAGTGCGTGAAGATGAAAGATTCAAAACACGCAATGATGCCAGGAACATCTAGGAACAACTAGGCCTGTCGCGATAAACAAGTCAATTAATCGCACGATAACTTAAAACTATCAATCTCATTTTAATTACCGGCTTTATCGTTTCTTCCGGCCTTTTTCTCTTTCTGTTGATGACACTGAATGAAAAGGGCTCAACTCCGATGTTCTCCACTGACCCTCCCTTCCTCATTTGCGTAATGCCCAGCGCACGCTGCACCATCTTAGAGCTGTCTGCAGGTTGTCGGCCCATTTTCAAAACCTGAGAGACCACATACTAGTCGACAGAACTCCTCAGTATAACGGTTCAATCAGGTTCAATCGTGCCGTGTGGTGTCCAACAATGGGCACAAAATAATGGCTACAAGTCTAGTTAACTCATTTAAAAAAAGGCATTTACTACAATCTACCTGCAATGCATATGACTAGTGTCAGTCCTGACTGAATGAAAATCATTGTAACCTATTTATGTCACTTTAATGACAAGCAGCTGAGAAGTTACAGGGCTTATTAACTGCGGTAGCATTTGAGAAACTCCTCCCCTTGTCATTTCTATTTCTTTCCACAAACTGTTGAATAGACATTAATATTGTTTCCACATATCATCTCTAATGTCCGCTGGATTTCAGGTTGCGCCTGTCAGCTTTTTGGGATTCTCCTCTGTGTTTTCCTGCAGGAAGCACGGAGGGGAATCCGTGCTTTATGATTGGCTACCTGTTACATTCAACAGGCTGCGTTAACAGTTTGGGAAAACCCCTGATTTAGATTGGAGAGGCAACGACAATCTACAGTAACACACCACAGAATAATCGGTTACGAAATCGCAAGTGACAATCTTAAGACGGCCAACATTCTAAGATTGTCCTAAAGGGAAACTGGGGTAAAAAATCGTGTTGTGTGAACTATTGCATCAGGCAGTCGGACGTGCCCGTCTTCTCCATTTAAATCTAGTGATTACTGAAGGACCATATAGAATACAGACTTCATAATCTGCACTCTTTTGGATGAATGCAGTATTTATTTCCACTTTGGCTTCATGTTGTTTAGTTTTCATTCAAGTAAATTTATTGTTAATGGAGACTGAGAATCCATTTTATTTTTGGTTTGGTTGTTTTGTTTCTCAACTCCAATGTTAAGTGTTCTTCTGACAATAAAGTGTATCTATGTTTGGCAGGAAATTGCATGTATTATTATGTAATTTCCATTAAATCAGTTTTAAATGGTCTTCAAACAATATTATTGTTTATTGCAATAATTTTTGAGACAATTAATCACATTCTGTCATTAAGCCTATCTGTTATAGGCCCAATTACAACCATGACTAGCGTAGCGACGGCTGCGACTGACTCAACGGAAAGTATCATCGCAGGGTGCACCATCTCTGTGACCGATCTCCTGGCCATGAATACCCTCATCAAGTCTGCAGAGCCACACTGCAGACCTGAAGGTGGCCAAACTGGTATCCAGCTGAGGATGAACAGGAAATGGAGGAAAGAGGAAGAACCGAGCCGGGCTACGGTCTTTCAGAAGTCCTCGGATGGACACAGAGGAAAGGAGAGACGCCGCCATATCCAAGAGGAGGATGTAGAGTTTGGAGGAGTTAAGCTCATGCAAGACAGTCGGAGGCTACAAGATGTGTGGGAGCCCTGCTTCTGCACCGCTTGGTTTTCTTGATGGAAAAAGCCCTGGCTCTGCAGGAACTTGGTGGCTTAACTTTGCTCCAGAAATGAACATCTCGCTGATTTTTATGATCAAATTTTGATTTTTAATCAGGACTTCTACAAATAGTGAACAATCAGATGTTCATTAAATGCATCAGAAGTCCCACCGGTTTCACTAAGAATCGACCAGCAGCTGGACGCCTCATCTCTGCTCTTTATTTAAAAGTTTGTGTTCTGTTTGGGCCTCTGAGCCGATCAGAGGTCTTCATCATCCAGACCTGCGGCAGCAGACGGCCGCTCTCCACGCTGGAGCAAACTCGCTTTTCACAGCTAGCTCCAGAGCCGGCGGGTCGGCCGCTAGCAGAGAGGCAGGCGAGCTCATACCTGGGGGCGGAGCTACAGGTGGGCAGTGGCCTCTGGTCACCTCCGCTGCAACCTGACGCCCCTTCTTCTTCTTCTTCTTCTTCTGTGGTATAAAAGAGATAAACACAGAGAAGTGACTGAACAGAACCAGAATCATAAAGAGTGGGCCAAACGGAGCAGGATGAAAATGCTTCGAAATCACCATGGTTCAGATGAAGTTCAGAGTTGAGATGAGACAAAACACCTGTTTGGGTTGTGATGATGGTGTGTGTGTGCTGACCTGTGTGTGTTGGTGTGTGTGTGCCTTCAGCTCTGTGGAGGCGGTGGGCGGAGCCTCCTCGTCATGGACCGGATCGGACGCGCTCCTCGCTCTGCCATTGGCCAGGAACCTGAAACAGAGAGGGGAGCAGGCGTGACGGTGCAGTTCCAGCTGTGACCACCAGGGAGCAGGTCTGATCTTGTTTTGCCACATCTCTTGGTAATTTCAGAGGATTTTAAGGTTGCAGGTTGTAGGTGAGACCAAAGAGCCCAATCAGAGCAGAATAACTTCAACATGTTAACACATTAAAGCTTTAACTGATCAAGTGTAAAAAGTAGTTGGTAAAAACTTGACTCAACCACAGAGCAACTAATCATAAAGCGCTTTGAGTGGTCAAAATGACTGGAAAAGCGCTATATAAGTTCAGTCCATTTACCATTTAACACATGATTTAAAGTCATGTCATCAGATACTTCTGGAAAAATTCTGGTATTTTAAAGACTAATGTGTTTATTTTCATCCGCCATGACAAGTCAGCTGCCCTCAGTGTTTCTTGTTTGTTTTGGTCATTGTGATGACACTTGGTGTGGATGTGCGTCGTACAAACCCTCCCCACAACACACACTCCCTCAGCTCAGACACTCGGCGATTCCATGGCAACAAGGACCTGCTCTGGGCTTGGACGTTACCTGGGGACCGGATCGGAACCAGCACAGGTGTCCGCCTGTCCCTGCTGGACGTCCAGCTGGGGGTTGGTGTACCCCAGGGTCCCTGAGTAGTTCACATCCTGTCAGGACAGCAGAGCCGTCAGGACGCGCCCCGTCAGGAAGCGCCCCGTCAGGACGCGCGCCCCCAAGACCCGCCCCGTCAGGACGCGCCCCCAAGACCCGCCCCATCAGGACGCGCCCCGTCAGGACGCGCCCCGTCAGGACCCGCCCCGTCAGGACCCGCCCCGTCAGGACGCGCCCCGTCAGGACCCGCCCCGTCAGGACGCGCCCCGTCAGGACGCGCCCCGTCAGGACGCGCCCCGTCAGGACGCGCCCCGTCAGGACGCGCGCCCCCAAGACCCGCCCCGTCAGGACGCGCCCCCAAGACCCGCCCCGTCAGGACGCGCCCCGTCAGGACGCGCCCCGTCAGGACGCGCCCCCAAGACCCGCCCCGTCAGGACGCGCCCCGTCAGGACCCGCCCCGTCAGGACGCGCCCCCAAGACCCGCCCCGTCAGGACCCGCCCCGTCAGGACGCGCGCCGTCAGGACCCGCCCCGTCAAGACGCTCCCCGTCAGGACGCGCCCCGTCAGGACGCGCCCCGTCAGGACGCGCGCCGTCAGGACCGCCCCGTCAGGACGCGCCCCGTCAGGACGCGCCCCGTCAGGACCCGCCCCGTCAGGACGCGCCCCGTCAGGACCCGCCCCGTCAGGACGCGCCCCGTCAGGACGCTCCCCGTCAGGACGCTCCCCGTCAGGACGCTCCCCGTCAGGACGCTCCCCGTCAGGACGCGCGCTGTCAAGACCCGCCCCATCAGGACGTGCCCCGTCAGGACGCGCCCCGTCAGGACGAGCGCCGTCAGGACCCGCCCCGTCAGGACGCGCCCCGTCAGGACGCGCCCCGTCAGGACGCAGCATTCAAGTGAACGGTTTGTTACCTGGACGACAGATGGACGTCTGTTCTGCTTAGCTGCTGCGGCTGTCCTCGGGTCTCTACTGTCCAGGCGGTGGCGCTGTCGCACGATGTACTCATAGGTGCTGAGTCTGTTCCACACTGAGGAGACACAGGGCTCCAGGTGAGCCAGAGCGGCCAGCGGGGCACGCAGGTGAGAAGGGCGAGGCTCTTACTCAGGTAGATGTGGAAGCACAGCAGGTGGCAGAGAAGCCCGGACGACAGCAGGCCCGTCGCCATGGTAACGGCAGCCAGAACCGGGATGACGGCGGCCGCTGACCTGAGAGGAGCCACCGGCAGGAAGACGAACCACACGCCTGTCTGATTCTGGACTGTGGACACGACAAACACGTCCCGTCTCACGCTCCAAGCTTTGAGCCTTGTTCCACGGGGTCAGAGGTCAAGTCTTACCCAGGAAATGTTTGTCGCTGCGCAGGTTCGACGGGTCTCTGAAGAACTCGACGAAGACATAGGAGGCGAAGACCAGAACCAGAGAGACGCCCAGCAGAGCGGAGACGACGCTGTGGAGGAACAACCTGCAGGACAGGGAGACACATGAGGACACATGTCTTGCCCCGCCCCACTGTAGTGGGTCAGCCAATCAGAAGTCACAAAGAGGACAGTAACACAAGTGCGACCAAGGTGGCGTCCGGATGCAGCAGTGAGGAAACCGGTCATGACGCAGCAGAACTCTGCTTCCCTCAGCAGGCTGCTGCATCTCAATAAATGGGAATATGAGACAATATGAAGTCACACATAATGTTCATGTTTTCAACACTGCTAACACTATTCACTCTGATGAGTTTCTGCTTCCAACCAATGAAAACTTCAGACTAATAAACATTTTCATGTCCAAAACTGGGCTCCTCCCAGCAGTAGAGATGCTTTCTGGATCATAATCAGCTTTTCATTTTCTGACATGTAGCTTTGCTTCAGACTGGCAGGAAGACTTGGAGTTCCCCGCGTTTCCCTCAAAGTGTCCTGATGCTTTCGTCGTGTTGTCACCCGCAGAACTTCCTTCAACCCGCCAGCTGACATGAGGAAACAGGAAGTACTCACTTGTAGTTCCTGCTGCCCACACAGTTGTTGAGCCAGCGGCAGTGGTGGTCGAAGTTAGCAACGCACTTGTTACAGGCGCTGCAGTGCTTCGACTTGGGGCCCCTGAAACAACACACACTCCAAGTGAAGTAAAATACTACAATCCCCAGGATGCAATGCAGTATGCCAGGTTAAATGTTTCAGATGTTGGATGAGCAGCAGAGGATCATGGGAGGTTTCCAGTCCACCTCACAGGCACTTAATGCCACGTGTTGCCCAGCAGCTCTGTCCTCCATGTTTTACTGATCACTTTCTGAAGCCGTGTTTCCTGAGCAGAAGCTGCTCATGTGAGTCGGAGCCGAACCGGCTGACTGAGCTGCTGCTGCTGTGTGCGCACTGAGCGGCCTGCGGGGGGCACTCCGACCTCTTGGGGCCGATTTAATGACTCCCTAAGCGGCGGTGCAGGTAAACACGCCTGCAGCGGTTTGTGAGGCTGTTACTCACACATCCACCTGGCACAGGTAGCAGTGGGAGTTCTCGATGACGTGTGCGTGTTTGGAGCGGTCGAAGGCGGGGACCGGCCCTCTGTCGCTCCTCATCCTCACGTTGAGGTCGGCCGGATCGACGGACACGGCCAGGACGTGGACGCACAGGTGGGACACGAACAGGATGCCGGTGCACTGAGTGGCGTTTAGGGATCAGCAACAGGTGGAGACCATGAGAGATCTGAAGACCTGGAGCCGGACTCGGCCACAGCAGCTGAGCTGCCGTCCCGCCGTTTCCTTGTTTTTTGTTGCTGCGTTTCTGTTACTAATGTTTGAAAATCTTTGTCAATATTCTGCTGCTGTCAAAAAACACAATTTCACATTCATAGTGTTTCCATTAAAGAAAAGACATTAACTTTGTTCATTTGTCGTTAAAACGTAACATTTACTCGTGATAATAATCCAGCCGCTCGCTCGCGCTCATCATCATCTGCCAATCAGAGGAGACGTCAGCGTCTTACTCAGGCGTTGCAGCAACTAGCCCAGTCTACGTAAGAGTGGCAACTTTTGGAAAAACTGAGATTTTCCAGAATAATTCAACACACTGAAATGACATAATGAAGTGAAGCTGTGATGGAGCCAAAACCCAATGTCCTCCTCCTGCTACTTCCTGTTGTCGTCTTCTGCATTTCCACCAGTAGTAACGCCCAGCTGTTGATCATCTGACTCGGATGAAGTGATTAAAATGTTTCCATTGCAGTTTTGAAAATAAATGTATGAAAAGCACTTCATCCCAGCACCAAAACGTTCAAATATGAAACTGCTTCTCAAATCAGCAAAGAATTTCCTGCTTATTCACGTCCAACAAACCGAATGCACTTTGAAAAGCTCAAATTGCTATTGTCAAAGCATTTTCAACATAAACGTTGTGCATTTTCAAAACTCTTTTTCTATTTTTCATTGTTTTATTAAACTTTCAAATTGCCACGCAAGTCAGGAACATTTTTTACGGATAGTCAAAATTACAATTCAAGATATCTTTAATTTAGTTTAATTTACTCATTTGCTTTTAAGATATCTATGATTTAGTTTTCATCAGTCAAAACTACATTTCTCCGATCCAAAAATATATTTAAGATATCCTGAACTGGCATCATTCGAGATATCTTTTATCAGAACCAGAGTTTTCAAAATAGTTGTTTCCATTAAGCAAGTTTATTTTTATGATTTTTGTGAAACTCCAGATCACCTCTGGAAGATCAGAACTTCGGTTCGGCTGAGACCGGAACTGAACGACTGGATCGGGCCCTCTCTGCTCAACAAGATGCACAGGGTGACGCGGTTTGACCTCTGACCCCGGCCAACAGCAGGAAGGATACGATGTAGCCCGCAGGGACCCAGTGCGGCGGCAGAAGCGGGACGAAGACGCCGAAGCCGGTGACGGCGAAGTAGACGTAGAGCAGCCAGGCCAGCAGCTGGAAGGGGTGAGGCGGCCAGGTCCAGCCGTTGGTCCGTGAGCAGAGCGGCACCTCAGAGCGCTGGGGGTCAGGGGTCGGCGCCGTGCGGTTCGGGTTCCTGCCGCACACCTCCATCCCTGAGGGGGGGGCATCATCAGACTGAAGCTTCACCCAGAACCAGAACCACTAGATCCATTCAGCTCCTGGTTCTGGGGTCACTGGTCTCATTACTCCAGACTGGTCCAACTGGTCAGTATTTCACATCTGGAGCTCAGATGATTTTTGGAATAATCACCAATAACTCTATAAAAACGGATCAATAAATAGAAACATTTCAGATAAAAACCTGTTTCTGTAAATCCGTTCCTCCAGAACCGGCCGGGTCCGGCTTTTAACTTCACATGGTTCACATTCTGAAAAATAACCTTCAATTAATCACCTTTGGCATCCAGCTATTGATCAACTAATCAATAATTCATCAGCCAATCAACTCTACTCTGAACTGATGTTCAGCTTTTTTCATGCTACAGATGATCCATAATCAAATCCAGTTTTTGACTTTTAGATTTTAAAAAGAATTATTTGTTTATTTGCATTTTAATGCATTTTATCCATAAGATCAATGGTTAAAGCTGCAAGCCGGTCGAGTTCCTCCACTAGTCACAGAGCTGTGCTGGCAGCATCATGCTGAGGGTTTTCCAGATCGGACTGCTGCTGCATTATCTCTGGTTCTGGTTCTGCTGGAGGGTTCCTGCTGGAACACAGCGGTACTCTCCACTGTCGCCACATGCTTGGTGATTGCTGCTGTCAGCTGGGTTTAGATACTATAATCAACTGACTCAGATTGTTGTGATAATAATTCCAAGTGGACCTGAATGAGACCTGTGATTCACGAGAAGCTGACAGGACATGGACCAATAGGAAAGGCTCCCTGAAGATGACGTCAGGATAAATAATCCGTACTGAATCGATTTACAGTTATAGACATATTTCATAGAGAGCAGATGGTGTTATTTTAACTAATTGTCAGCCTGGAATCTTGCACTGTTTTCATCCTTAAATCGTTAAACTGAGCACGAAAATATCCCAACAGAAATGATCAGATCAATCTTGATCATCATTGATTCAGTGTAGCGGGTCCATCTGACCCGAGACGCTTCCTCTGGTCGAACCGAGCCCGGTTCTGGAGGCAGCTCACCTGGCTAACACGACTGGTTCGGTCCGCGGCGCCTCATCTCATCCCGCATCCCTGGGTCGGTCTGTCCGGAGGAATCAGGTCAGAACCAGGCCAGACGGTCCCAGCCCGGCGGCTAGCTCAGCTCCATCCACAAAGCAGAGCCCAAGGTCCGGGAGAGGAAACGAGATGCAGCCCGCTCTGTGGTCCCGTGCTAACCGGTTAACCGGCTAACTGGCTAACCGGCTAACTGGCTAACGGGCTAACCGGCTAACGGGCTAACCGGCTAACGGGCTAACCGGCTAACCGGCTAACGGGCTAACCGGCTAACGGGCTAACCCTAAACAACCGCTGGTCGTCAGACTGAGCGCCCACACCGGCCACAGAAGCGTCAACCTCGGCGGAGATCCAAAACGCTTCCGGAAATATTCGTTTTTAATCAGAAATCTGTAAAAAAAAAAAAAAAAAATCAAAATTATACTGTAGCAGCTGCGCCTCGGCTCCACTGGCTGCGCTCCTGTAGCCTCTCACCGTCACGTAGCCTTGAACGCCGTTTCCTTGGTAACGCTCCACATCTGCTCCTATTGGTCAACGTCAGCCAGGACAAACCGACCGACGTCTGACGCACCGGTGTGAGAAAGTCTGGATTACTTTGACTATATGGCAAGCCATTTTAGCATAAACTCGGTTTCGTCTGACTATCCTGAATTACGTTCTAGGCAGTGGCGGAGCCAGAGGGGTGGCCGGGGTGGCACTTGCCACCCTAACAGGCCCCTGGCCACCCCTACTGCCACCCCACTGGAAATGGTCATTTTAAAATATAATACTTATGAGATCGGCAAAGATTTGCCAGGAAAACTGTAATTTCCGACTCTCCCTGAAGGCAGCCCGATGCCCGACGTTGTTCATTGGTTAAACTGACATGTTGGTTCCTGCTTGATCCTAAACACATCAACGGCTTTAGAGTTACAGCATCAGGAGTTCTGCAGGTATTTCCAACATTTTACCGCTCAGCAGTAACCGCTGTTACCTTCCTAATGAGAGGCGGCTCTTGTCATACATTTCTAAAAAGAAACAAAATGGTTGTGTACCGCTGCATGGTGCCTGGTTTATTATATTAGCCATGCTAGTGCTGATAGATCGTGTTTTAGACAGATTCTTTTAACATGTTTTAGTGACATGCTGCCCTCTAATGTTTTATTTCTCCCAGCTCTTGCTTGAAATGTGTGGTAAGAATATGAGAAAAACCATTAAGTTTTATAATGACTGAAATGTAAGTAGGCTATGTCATATGAAAGCTTTGAATTATAACCTAACTAGTTATATTAATTAATTTTGAACGAAAGGAAACAAATATTTTTTCCTTTCGTTCCATGGAACTGTCCATTTGTATATGGACCCTCTGATAAAGCCTTGCTCACCCTTTGGCCACCCTTGAAAAAAAGTCTAGCTCCGCCACTGGTTCTAGATCTCTAAAAATGCATTTTGACTAGACAAACTACATTTGGACTATCCGGAATTGTAATTTCACATATCTGCATTTACATTCTGACTAGTAAGAATAATAATTGACGACATCTTCAATTACATTTTGACGAGTCAAAATTCCTTTCAAGATATTTCAAATTACGACACTGGATCCGTCATTAAACGGGACACATCCGTAATTACAATGTAAGATATCAGGAACTTAATGATGGCTTGTCAAAATTACAATTTTAGATATTTGAATTAAGAATTGCGTGAAGCCCCTTCCTGCTGTCCCAACAGTGGCCTGCAGAACTTTATTTTTCTTGCACAAAATTGTCAGTAAATGCCACAAATGAGAAAGATTAGAAAATTAGAAAGAGCTCAGCAATGTTGGATATTGCCAACATCGGCCTTAAAAGTTGCTTATAAGACTATAAAGAGTCTTATAGCCTTCAAATATGAAACTGCTTCTCAAATCAGCAAAGAATTTCCTGCTTATTCACGTCCAACAAACCGAATGCACTTTGAAAAGCTCAAATTGCTATTGTCAAAGCATTTTCAACATGAACGTTGTGCATTTTCAAACTCTTTTTTCTATTTTTCATTGTTTTATTAAACTTTCAAATTGCCACGCAAGTCAGGAACATTTTTTACGGATAGTCAAAATTACAATTCAAGATATCTTTAATTTAGTTTAATTTTGTCTAGTCATTATTTGCTTTTAATTTAGTTTTCATTAGTCAAAACTACATTTCTCCAATCCAAAAATACATTTAAGATATCCTGAACTGGCATCATTCGAGATATCTATAATTAGGATTATGACTAGTCAAAACTAAAATTGAGATATTTTGAATTTACTTTATGACTAGTCATAATTTAGTTGAAGATTTCTGAAATGTAATTTATTGTAAATATCTTAAACTGAAGTCTCCAGACAACTCAATGGTAAATGTGACGTCATTTTGACGTCAGAATGTAATTAGAGATATCATAAATTGCTAAAACATCTTCATAAAACAATTAGAGATATCTGGACTGTAAGGCCGGAAAGCCCAAATTTATCTTAAAATGGTTTGCCACAGCAACACAGTCTTCATGCAGATGTCGGTTCGATTCCCGTCCAGGCCTTGTATTTATATTTGTTATAACAAATTGAAATGAAAATAATAACAGAAAATAATAGAATATAAAGGATAGCGTCAGCCAATGGGTTAGAATTAACTGAAATTAGAGAATATGTGGAGTGTTTTTTTCTTTCACTTTTTTTGAACAAGACAGAAAATGAAAATATTTCATCAGATCAACAAAGAACTGTATTTTTGCATTTACATTTCTGAATAAAATAGTTCAAAAATAGATGAGGTTTATATTTTAAAAATTCTTAAATTCAATCCCAAAGAGAAATGAAAGAATATTTCATACATTCTGTCAACATCAAACCAAATCCTTATTTATGTGTCCTGCTTCTGAGCATTTGGTGCTAATTATATATCATTTCAAACTGGAATGGAAGCAGGTCAGAACCAGGTTCTGGAATGGAAGCAGGTCAGAACCAGGTTCTGGAATGGAAGCAGGTCAGAACCAGGTTCTGGAATGGAAGCGGGTCAGAACCAGGTTCTGGAATGGAAGCGGTCAGAACCAGGTTCTGGAATGGAAGCGGGTCAGAACCAGGTTCTGGAATGGAAGCAGGTCAGAACCAGGTTCTGGAATGGAAGCAGGTCAGAACCAGGTTCTGGAATGGAAGCAGGTCAGAACCAGGTTCTGGAATGGAAGCAGGTCAGAACCAGGTTCTGGAATGGAAGCAGGTCAGAACCAGGCCAGACGGTCCTGGTTCAACATTAGTAAAATAGCTGTTTTGGGTTTTTTTTAAAATAAAAGAAAAAGTTTTCACAATGATCATTTTTTAAATATACAACATTTAGTAATCGCTTTCATGCTTGCAATCATAAATATCTTCGACAGGTATGTGTCCCCAGTGCTGAAGTATTCCATGGTACATAGCAGGAAATGAAAGGACTAAAGTTATACCCCTAATTTCATAGATGAATCGATTAACGTCCTTCCAGAAGGTCTTCAACTGAGGACAGTCCTAACAGATATGAAAGCAGTCTGCAGCGACCAGACCGCACTCAGTCCAGCTTCCACCTCTGCTTTGGCGTAATAAAAGTCGGACTAGATTCTTCCAGCAGAAACGCTGCCATGATAAAGAGTTCCTCCTGCTTCCTTTTCCCATCTTTGTCTGATGTAATCAGTTGAGTTCTTAGATGTAAAGTTTCTGTAATATTTGCCGATGGTGCCTGTTGTATTTTTGAAACTATAAATATTTGTACTATTCCTGGTTCTGCACCCAAGTCAGGTATTTTGATTTCCTTCCTAAAGAAACTTTGGACCTGCAAATAACGGTAGAAATCTTTCCCAACCCTCTTTCCCCCCGATCCCCAGGCAGCTGCAGGGTCGAGTATCTTACTCTTGGCCTCTTCTTGCCTTCTTGCCTTATGAAATGCTGATCCCACTCCCTAAGCTGTTTTGCTGGAACCTCTACTGGAAGTGCTGCACATTTGTACAATAGTCTTGGAAGAACATTTCTCTTCATTGTTCAGATTCTACTGCAGAGGTCAAGGGGAAGCAGGCTCCACCTGGCCAGGTCCTCATATATTTTCTTATTTATTTGATTGTTATTAATTTCATATAACTGAGCAAATTTTTTTGTTAATATACTCCATTTGTAATTGATGCCAATTAAATTGGTAACTATTTAACAGTTTTGACAGAACACAATGGAAGGTCAAAATTTCATTTTTTGGTATTTTGAGATTATATCCTGAGAGTTTTCCATAAGTTTCCAGGATGTTCATAAGCGATGATATGCCAGATTCAGGGATTTTAATTAGTACTAAAACATCATCTGCATATAAACATATTTTGTTTCCCACATTCTTTATTTGTCACCCCCTCCAACCTGGACTCCTCTCTAATAACCTGAGCCAGTGGTTCGATAAAAACATTCAAGAGTCGGCTTCAAGGACAGCCCGGTGTCATAATGGAGTAAATAGTCCAGCCCTTATGCAGAACACGACTCAGGAGAATATGTGAGTTAAGAGTAAAGTTTATTGAAAATACTGCTGGTGGGTACTGGACGCTCGGGTCGGGTCCAGGGGGGAAGGCAGCGTCAGGAAACAGACTGTTCACTGGAGAGGCAGAGTTGGTGGTGAGTTCAGGTTTATGGGAAATGACAGCGTTGTGAGTGAAGGAACAGATCTTACTTGTGAACGGCTGTTTTGAAAGGCGAGAGGGTACGGTAATGTCCGGGGTCTCAGTTCTTTGTGGTTCCAGGCAGTTGTGAGACTTGTCGGCAGGGATCCAGGAGGCAACGGGAGCATGTCGGAGGGCGGACAGGCAGGTTAAGATCAGCGGCTGTAGAAGAGCGGCGCAACTGCCAGTCGTGGATTTCCTGAAGAAACTGGTTGGTGCACGGAATGAGGTGAGTCTGGGGGCTCGAGCAACCTGTGGATTCCTTCCACGGCGTCACGAGGGTAGACTGGAACACGGGGAGCCAGGAGGAAACACCTGAAGGTAAGAACAGCAACAAGGAAGATTTTCACAAAGAGCTGATAAACAGAAGCAAGCTTCTAGGGCAGGGGTGGGCACTCCAGGTCCTGGAGGGTCTCCTGCAACTTTTAGATGTGTCTCTACTTCAACACACCTGAGTCAAATAATGAGGTCATTAGCAGGACTCTGGAGAACTTGATTGCATTTAGGAGGTGATTCAGCTGTTGGATTCAGGTGTGTTGGATCAGGGAGACAACCAAGAGTTGCAGGACACCGGCCCTCGAGGACCAGGAGTGCCCACCCCTGTTCTAGGGGCTCAGAGGTACCGTGGCTGGCAAACACTCAGGCGCTGAAGAACTCGCAGTCTGCTTCTCTTGAACATTTCGCTGATGAGCTCAATTCACCTCAGGTGTGGGATGACAGTCATCCACACCCTCCAACAGAATGGATATGGCTCCCTCTAGTGGTAGAAAAGTTGCACGCACAAACAAAACCTCCACAAAGGAGCTAAAAAACCCCGGAACATGACACCCGGCCTACATCCTCGTTGTAATGTTATTTGATCTGAAAGGCTTCCATTCATTTAATTTTTGCTTTTGGAGAGAAGTACATAGTTTTTATAAACTGCATAAATCTTTCACAGAACCCAAACGCCTCTCGCCGTGATGACGGGAGGGTGTTGAAGGAAGCGGCTCCTTCATGGCTTTATGGGAACCATCACAGCCCAGTGATTTGCTGCTCTTCATATCCCACGGTCCACTTCCTCAGCTGATATTTCTGCCATTAACTTGTCATTATCCTAGAGATGGGAGATCCAGGGAGTTAAGAAATGTTTGAATTGTTTGATTACCCACTTTGTCCAGCTGTGTGTACAGAGCTGCATAATACCCTTCAAATGCTCTCTGAATTTCATCAAGTTTATTAGTTTTCTTGTTAGTTTTTGGGTTTCGAACTTTATAGATTGTGTTTTCCACCTGTTGTTTCCTCAGCCTCCATGAAAGCACCATAGCAGCTTTAGGCCCTGCCTCATAATACCTTTGCCTCATATATTTACGTTATTCTTTTCAATTTCCTCACTTAAAATTTTGTGAATCTTCTTCTTGATAGGCCTCATTTGTTCTAGTAAGGGGAGGCTTTTTTTAATCGAATGCAGCTGATCCAACCTTTGAAATTTTCCTGCAAGTCTTAGTTTTTTCTCTCCAATCTTCTTCAAATGAACACATTTTGCTATTATTTTACCCCAAATGCATCCTTTAGCAGCATCCCACAGAATTGTAGGGCTAACTGTTCCATTATCATTCAATTTTAAGTAACTTTTAAGCTCCTCTACCATTTCCGTTTTGAATGCAGTACTATTTAATAAGCTTGTGTTGAGTCTCCATAAAGTGTTTTAAGGATTTCTAATTACACTAGAAATTCCTGAAGAAACGTGTCCACCTGCAGGAGGGTGAAGTGGTATGAGCAGTATAACCACCAAGCAGACCACCAACCAGCTCTCAGGATGAAACTGTTAGCTTGTTAACAGCTTGTTAAAAGCCATTAACAAGCTGTTAACAAGCTAACAGACAAGATTGATGGTGGTTGCTAACATCTCTAAGCTAGCCGAAATGAACGCAGCTGATATGAGAGACTGAAAACGAAACTATCTGGCCTGGAAAGAGGCTCCTGCGGAGATGAAGGAAAGATTGTGGGAACTAGAACGATAGAAACACTGTTGGAATTTAAAAATTCAGGCTTTAAAGAAAAAAATAACCAAGATACTGGCAAAGAAGTCATTGACATCTTAGCCAAGATGGCGCCGCACCGGGCCTCGTTACTGGTTGGGTTGAGAACCACCGAGATGCTTCTGGAAACTCACCAAAAGGAGCTGGCATCCTGCAAACAAGAGCTGCAGTCCGGCCCAAAATGGATCCAGCCAGAACCGGAGGAAACACGTCCACTGCCAGGACACATCCTGGGTTAGGGTTAGGGTTAGGGTTAGGGTTAGGGTTAGGCCAGGACCCCCGACTGGACATCCTGAGGTAATGCAGGAATCACCACTGCACAGACACAAGCTGCTGCTTTATGCTTCAAGGAAAATGTATTCTTTATTTCTAAAGTTTTTTTAGATTAAATAGGCCAGATTAATAAATAAGGTAAAGTTAAGCATTCACAAGTTTGATGAATACATTCTGATCTCCTTATCTGGTCAGAGGTCAGTGGAAGGGAGTCGGTGCTTCATTCTTACCTTTTCCTGAACACCAGACGTTCAGTAACCTTCTCACTTTTCTGTGTTTCTCATTTTAACTTTGTGTCTTTAAATGTTACGAGTTTGAGAGATGGTGTTAAAAGAAAATCAAGTTCTGATGTTCTAGCAGCTTCTGTTGGATTTAATCTGGGAGATTAAAGTAGATTAACTGGCCAATCTAAAAACTATCAGTTATAATTACAGTTTATTCATTTATATTTGTGAACAAACGGCTCAAACTCAAAGATCAACCTCACAGCATCAGATTGTTGCTATGGTAACAAAACAATCCAACTATGAATATTGTTCTTTGATCTTTTATAAAGTAAACTTTTCAGCTCCTTAAAATCTTACATAGAAATTTTAAATAATTTGAAATCTTTTAATTTATGTTGAAATCATTCAATCAAATTTAGCAGCATCAATCATCTCAATGAACAAACACACACACACCTACACACACACACACACACACACACACACACCTACACACACACACACCTACACACACACACACACACACCTACACACACACACACACACACCTACACACACACACACACACACACCTACACACACACACACACACACCTACACACACACACACACCTACACACACACACACACACCTACACACACACACACAGAGCTGCAGGTGTGGCTCTGCTGCTTTCTTTTATGACATGAAATGATAAACGACTCATTTTCTTTCAACAAGCTCTAAAGTCATTAGATCTTGTTGCTTCCTGAAACTGATCTCCAATTAGATCTTCAAAAAATTAGCAGCTCTTATGTCTGAAAAAGTCAACTTTATTTCTATGAAAGAATGAACAAAGTGAACATACATTTTGTTTTACAGTCTTTCGTTTTTTGTATAAAATTCACAGTTTAAGTGATAGAAGAAAATAAGCCATAAATAGTTGGATTATAAAACAGTATAATGGGGCCTTTCCACAGATGGTTCTTCGGACTCGGCACACGGTAACGGATCGGCTCTGGAAATCTGCTGCAGACCGGGACAGATTCAAACATTTCTCAGGGACGGAAAAACCATGCGGCTGGTGGGTTCCCTCTCGTGATCTGATGTGTGTGTGTGTGTGTGTGTGTGTGTTACATTCAGTTATAAAATCTGGAGCATGTGTCTGATTAAATAGATATTTTTCATGAAATATGTGCCTTAGGCTGTGGCAATGTGCTACAGGTACAGCAGCTTTCACGCAGAAGGACTGAGGCTTGGTATCACCAATGTGGGGACTTTTATTTTGAAGAGATTGGCCACGTCCTTTCAGAGGAGTGTGATGAGGTAAAACAGAGAGGCTGACGGTCGGGCAGTAGCTTGTTTGACTGAGAGCGCTCACTTCAGGAGTTCAGGGATGTCAAGCGGCTGGAGTCTAAGGAACCGGTGACTGAATGATTGACGTGAGCCCCCCCTTTGGTCCATGTGTGTTCTGCTCTCTTAGTGATGAAGGCACATAGAGCACACCTGATGCTGTTCTCTGATCGACTCGTACTTCTATGGCTAACAGGCTCCGCCTCCCGACGTCCAGGTGAGTCCTCCTAGGTGGGCGGAGTCAAACAGAAGGGTTCTGGCTCTATGAGTGTTACTGGAGTGGTCCTCTACGCTTTACTGCGGCTGCAGCTTCTCCTCGTTGTTGTTGTTGATGAGGCCGAGGTTCGCCTCCAGACCTGACTGTTTCCTCAGCGCGCGTGGCATCAGCTTCTTCTTCACAAACTGTTTCTGCAGGAAGCGGTTGCTGATGCTGAGTGGGAAGTAGCTGTGAATGAAATACATGAGGCCGATGCCGGGCCCAGCAAAGTAGTGTGTCTGCGGCTGTGGCGACAGCAGCGCATGGACAATGGCGTCCACCACGGGGCTGAAGTCTGGGTTGGCGTGCTCAGCGAAGCTCTGGAACAGGTTCTTGGACTCGGCGATGTAGTCCTCGCCGTATTCCTCCCAGCGCCGGAGACAGACTCTGGAGGAGCTGCTGGTGCTGCTGCTCCCAGTACGCATTGTTGCTGGAGGGAGCTAGGAGAAGAGTGCAGAGTTATCATGGCAACTGACATCGTGACAGCACCAATTGTCCAAACAAACTTTACTGCAATGACCAGTAATGCTACGAAGCTCATATGATGTGATGCATTAAAGGGCCAGGGTGGTCGGAACAATGTCATGAAAGGGGTTGGTCGCTCATTGGGGCGACTGGTCGCTCGTCGGGGCGACTGGTCTCGCGTCGGGGCGACTGGTCGCTCGTCGGGGCGATTGGTCTCGCGTCGGGGCGACTGGTCTCGCGTCGGGGCGACTGGTCTCGCGTCAGGGCGATTGGTCTCGCGTCGGGGCGACTGGTCTCGCGTCAGGGCGATTGGTCTCGCGTCAGGGCGACTGGTCTCGCGTCGGGGCGACTGGTCTCGCGTCGGGGCGACTGGTCTCGCGTCGGGGCGACTGGTCGCTCGTCGGGGCGACTGGTCGCTCGTCGGGGCGATTGGTCTTGCGTCAGGGCGACTCGTCGCTCGTCGGGGCGACTGGTCTCGCGTCGGGGCGACTGGTCTCGCGTCGGGGCGACTGGTTGCTCGTCGGGCGACTGGTCGCTCGTCGGGGCGACTGGTCTCGCGTCGGGGCGACTGGTCTCGCGTCGGGGCGGCTGGTCTCTCGCGTCGGGGCGACTGGTCTCGCGTCGGGGCGACTGGTCTCGCGTCGGGGCGACTGGTCTCGCGTCGGGGCGACTGGTCTCGCGTCGATCTCAGCAGTGAGTTCAGTGTTTTGGTCCAACAGTAGGATCTTCTCCCTGACTCACAACTGACTCTGCATCAACACAAACTAAAACCAATAAGTTCACATAAAGAGTGGTAAAAATTCATCAAGGTGAGTTGTGACAGGAAGAGGTACATTTTTGTCATGCAGCTGTGCCATGAGAACCGGTACCAGCTCTTCTTACTGGTACCTTTCTTCCTTCTTGTTGGTTCTGATCCAGCTCAGTTTGGAACTGGAGCTTATAATAACCGAGACAGATCGAATGATTTCATTCCTTAACTGGAAAACCAAGCAGCGTTTATTTATTGTTCTCACACGAGATCTCTGGGTTGGGAAGAGTCTGAGCTCTCAGAACCACTGGGTGTACCAAGAGGTTCTGTCTGACTTCAAACGGGACGTTTCTTCTTTTAGATCTGATTGGATGAGAAAGCAAGCAGGAAAGAGTGGAGATGTTCTCAGGGATCAATAATGAGAATCTGGTTATTATGGATCAGTAATTATGTCAGACTCCACAGGGAAAGTTTCTGGTCAGCCTTAATTTTTATTAGTTTGGTTTATTACTTTTGTCTGTGAATAGAAAATTTTAGTTTAATAATAAATGTTTTCCTTGACTGAGATGGTCACTCATCTCAGTTTTCAAGTGTTTGAAGGACTCGTTGTAGTGCTAATGCTGGGAATAACGGGTCGGTACTGGAGCGCAACGGGTCGGTACTGGAGCGCAACGGGTCGGTACTGGAGCAGAACGGGTCGGTACTGGAGCAGAACGGGTCGGTACTGGAGCAGAACGGGTCGGTACTGGAGCGGAACGGGTCGATAGCCACTAAAATCTGATCTGTACTGGTGTTGAGCTTGGAAGCTGACTGAAGTAAACGCTTTCTCATAAATGTAGAGAGTTTTGATCCTAACGATTTAAATTTGTTTACATGTGTTGGATCTATTTCCTAACAATCTCTTTGGACATTAAGGACACAGGGAGACGGTTACATTTTCTTATGCAATCTTCCAATTGAACGGTGGACTCTGCCCAGAGACATCCTGTTGTCTCTGTCTCCAGACCAGTTCTAACCTGATTCTCTGCAACTGCATATTTTATTACGAGGCTTAATTACAAACATTTGCATAGAAGGAGCAGCAAACCCAATACACATTCTCAAGATTCTGTCTTTGCATCTCCTGACGTTACAGTTGTTTGTTGTCTCTGGACCATAAAACTAGAGTTTCTTGGGACATCTAGCCTTTGATCCACTCTCCTGCTTGGTGTCACCTCTTTACCCCTGGTTGGCACCTGTTGTCCTTTTGTCTTCCTGTCAGGGCAATTGTAACTGCAAGCATCCTGCTCTGTTCCCGGATTCTCTGGTTCAGTTCCCGTCCCCCTCTGGGGTCGTAAAGTTCAGTTCCAGAGACTCTGGGTCGTATGCAAACGACGCATTCTTCCTACCAGACCAACTGGCCATCCGTCTCCAAAGTGACAAACTCATTGCTTCCTTCAAAGATAAAAGAGAAACAGATCCCAGGGGCAAACAAGGTTTCTCAACCCTTATAGTCTCCTAATCTTGAATATTTATATTTGTATTTAACAACATGATATGTTTTTGAGACATCTAGTTATCGTTGGCCGCTCTGTCCAAGCTGAGCTACAGGTGTAGAGCTGGACAATGGCCAGCAGGGGGAACTGCTCTGATCTGTCCAGGTCGGCGTCTGGGGGCAGGGCTTACCTGTCTTAAATGACGACGGCAGGACGGTGCTCACTTTGACCCCCCAGGGAACCAACTCATGCCTCAGGGTTTCAGTGAACAGGTTCAGCGCCGCCTTGGACGCTCCATACGCCACCAGGCAGGGGAACGGCTGGTCACCTGGAAGAGGAGGTCGGAGCGTCACTCTGATGTCACCAACCTGACCGAGGAGATGCCTGCTCTGCCCACCGTCGGCCCCCAGTGAGTCAGCGCAGAGCTGGACTTTAATGGGTTAATGTCACAACACAGTTTGCTCAACTTGTTGTCCAGGGTGGAAAATATCTGTCCTTAAGATCTGTGATTGATTAGTTTTGGCTCCCAGACAGTTTGAGTTGGACTGGCTCAGTCTGTTTGCTTTGGCAGGTGGCTGACTCTGGAGCGGTCCAGAGTCCTGCCAAAGTATTTACACCCCATGAACTCTTTCACTCTGTCACTTTGCAGCCAAATGCTGAACCAACAGAAAGTTGGTTCTGACTGAACAGGAGAGAAAAGCACTGGCAGTTTTTAGCATTTTCACTAAGAAATCCGTTATTTCTCAGTTATTAAGGTGGCGAACGCCTTCATCTTGATCCACCTGAATTAAATCCAATCCAACTTTCAGATGTCAGAGCTCGGAACCAGAGCGCAGATGTTCTGGTTCTGGCCTCAGGTTCTTCAGGATTATGGAGATCCAGCAGGTCCGGGAGGATGGAGTTCATGAGTTTACAACAGTGTTGGTTTCTACAACAGGCCGTCCAGGGCTGCTGTTCTGCAACTCTTACATACATGTCTTCCTGGTCCATCCAACTTCAAACATCTGAATCTCCTCCTCAATGCAGAACTCAGGTTCTGCATTGAGGAGCTCATGCTAATGAGCTCGTTAAGTGACTCAGGTGTGTTGAAGTAGAAACACGTCTCTGGGCCTTCAGGCCTGAAGTTTCTCACCCTGTTCTATAGAAACATACCAACTGCTGGGCTCTGGATACAAATGTGTGCCACAAAGTCAACACCTTGAGTTATGTACTGTGTGTGTGTGTTTGTGTGTGTGTGTTACACACCGGCTGGGCTGGAGATGTTGACGATGCGACCTTTGGCCTGTCGCAGCAGCGGCAGGAAGCTCTTGGTGACGCTCACCGTGCCGAAGAAGTTAACCTCCATGCAGCGTCTGAAGTTGGACATCAAGCACAGCTCTGCGTCTCCCAAGTTCACACACACACCTGCGTTGTTGACCAAACCCCACAGACCTGCACACACACACACACACACACACACACACACACATTTATTTCTACTGCCTAAACTGTATCCTTATTCCCATAAACGGCGTTTCCCCTTGTGGAGACTGTTGGAATAATTGTATATAAGTTAACCCAGGTATTGCTGTTTCTTGTGAGTTGTTGAGTTGGTGCGGCCCTGGTGAGACGTGCATGTAAGAGTCGGTTTGACAGAGGAAGAGGAAGCTCTGGAAACATCTCACCCAGATGGCCTTAAACGGATTTAGTGCAGGTCAAGAGGTCGCACCTGCAACCAGTTCTTGTTTTTCTTACTATGTATGTTGGAATGTGTTTATCTCTGAGTTGCAGCCATTTGTTACCCTTCCCCCTATAGAGGTTGTGACCCTCACGTAACCAGGGAAAGCTAAGGAAATAAAAGGCGTTGAGAGCCAGGGCGTGCTCAGAGCGGTAGGAGATTGTAACTAGAGCACATCTCTGTCCATAGCAAGAATACTGACTCTTGTCTTTTCTATCTTTGTTAAATATGTTAAACAGGTGTTAACCCTAACAGAGACCATGCTGATGCTGGGAATAAGGAGCAGTGGCTCCCCACAGTGTAGCGTGTATCAGAAAAATGGTTCCCACAAGGTATTACAAACAAATGCACACACAGAGACACTCAGAGACACACAGAGACACTCAGAGACACACAGAGACACTCAGAGACACACAGAGACACTCAGAGACACTCAGAGACACACAGAGACACTCAGAGACACACAGAGACACTCAGAGACACACAGAGACACTCAGAGACACACAGAGACACTCAGAGACACTCAGAGACACACAGAGACACTCAGAGACACACAGAGACACTCAGAGACACACAGAGACACACAGAGACACTCAGAGACACACAGAGACACTCAGAGACACTCAGAGACACACAGAGACACTCAGAGACACTCAGAGACACACAGAGACACTCAGAGACACACAGAGACACTCAGAGACACACAGAGACACTCAGAGAACTCAGAGACACACAGAGACACTCAGAGACACACAGAGACACTCAGAGACACACAGAGACACTCAGAGACACACAGAGACACACAGAGACACTCAGAGACACACAGAGACACTCAGAGACACACAGAGACACTCAGTCATCAAGTGGAAGCTGAGGCCTTTGAGCTGAGTCTAAACGGTTCTGGTTTGACTTTAATTTCCTGAATGTTAATGTTTGATATTAGAGGAAAGTGGAAAAACACAGACTGCTCTGACCTACTGATGTTCTGACTGGACCAGGTTCTGATGTCCTGACCGGACCAGGTTCTGATGTCCTGACTGGACCGGGTTCTGTGGCTTTGGGGTCTTAGTGAAGGACCTCCGCTCCTTGTTTCTGGGTCAGTTGTGGAAATCTACCAATGGTCTCCGAGGGTTTATGTAACATCTGGAGGGTGGGTCCGTGCAGATAAGACCGCAGTCGGGTCAGCAGCAGTCGGTCGGGTCAGCAGCAGTCGGTCGGGTCAGCAGCAGTCGGTCGGGTCAGCAGCAGTCGGTCGGGTCAGCAGCAGTCGGTCGGTCTCTCTCCCTGTCTGTAAACAAGCCTTGATCGCCCCTTCTGGGGTCAATGACCCAGAATCTCATGCTTTGTTTTCGGTCACTGTGGGATCCGTGTTTAGGTCTGAGAACGGCCTGTAGAGGCTCAGAGGGAGCGACCAGGTGACTTCCTGTCAAATAAGGAAACCGGAACCAGTCAGCTCAACAGAACCTCAGATTATTCTTGGAACTCGACTGGATTATCAAGACAACAATATATTTAAACGTTTCTGCTTGAGACAGAAACCTTGACCTCCAGAGAGGTTCATGTTCAACTCCATCCATCATCCATCCATCCATCCATCATCCATCCATCATCATCCATCCATCCATCATCCATCCATCATCATCCATCCATCATCCATCCATCATCATCCATCCATCATCCATCCATCCATCATCCATCCATCCATCCATCCATCATCCATCCATCATCATCATCCATCATCCATCCATCATCCATCCATCATCATCCATCCATCCATCATCAACCATCATCCATCCATCCATCATCCATCCATCATCATCCATCCATCATCATCCATCATCATCCATCCATCCATCATCAACCATCATCCATCCATCCATCATCCATCATCATCATCCATCCATCATCATCCATCCATCCATCCATCATCCATCTATCATCCATCATCCATCCATCATCCATCCATCCATCCATCCATCCATCATCCATCCATCATCATCCATCCATCATCATCAACCATCATCCATCCATCCATCATCCATCCATCATCATCCATCCATCATCCATCCATCATCATCCATCCATCCATCATCAACCATCATCCATCCATCCATCATCCATCCATCATCCATCCATCATCATCCATCCATCATCCATCCATCCATCCATCATCCATCCATCATCATCCATCCATCATCCATCCATCATCATCCATCCATCCATCCATCATCATCATCCATCCATCATCCATCCATCCATCATCCATCCATCCATCATCCATCCATCATCCATCCATCATCATCCATCCATCCATCCATCATCATCATCCATCCATCCATCATCCATCCATCCATCATCCATCCATCATCCATCCATCATCCATCCATCATCATCCATCCATCCATCCATTATCCATCCATCATCATCCATCCATCCATCATCAACCATCATCCATCCATCCATCCATCATCCATCCATCATCATCCATCCATCCATCATCATCCATCCATCATCATCCATCATCCATCCATCCATTATCCATCCATCATCATCCATCATCCATCCATCCATCATCATCATCCATCCATCATCCATCCATCCATCATCCATCCATCCATCATCCATCCATCATCCATCCATCATCATCCATCCATCCATCCATTATCCATCCATCATCCATCCATCCATCATCAACCATCATCCATCCATCATCATCCATCATCCATCCATCATCATCCATCCATCCATCATCAACCATCATCCATCCATCCATCATCCATCCATCATCCATCCATCATCATCCATCCATCCATCATCACCATCATCCATCCATCCATCATCCATCCATCATCATCCATCCATCCATCATCAACCATCATCCATCCATCCATCCATCATCCATCCATCCATCATCATCCATCCATTATCCATCCATCATCATCCATCCATCCATCATCAACCATCATCCATCCATCCATCCATCCATCATCCATCCATCCATCATCATCCATCCATCCATCATCCATCCATCCATCCATCATCCATCCATCATCATCCATCCATCCATCATCCATCCATCATCATCATCCATCCATCCATCATCCATCCATCCATCATCCATCCATCATCCATCCATCATCATCCATCCATCCATCCATTATCCATCCATCATCCATCCATCCATCCATCCATCCATCATCAACCATCATCCATCCATCCATCCATCATCCATCCATCCATCCATCATCCATCCATCCATCATCCATCCATCCATCATCCATCCATCATCCATCCATCATCATCCATCCATCATCCATCCATCCATCCATCCATCCATCATCATCCATCCATCATCATCATCCATCCATCATCATCCATCATCCATCCATCCATTATCCATCCATCATCCATCCATCATCCATCCATCCATCATCATCATCCATCATCATCCATCCATCCATCATCCATCCATCCATCATCCATCCATCATCCATCCATCATCATCCATCCATCCATTATCCATCCATCATCATCCATCCATCCATCATCAACCATCATCCATCCATCATCATCCATCATCCATCCATCATCATCCATCCATCCATCATCAACCATCATCCATCATCCATCCATCATCATCCATCCATCCATCCATTATCCATCCATCATCATCCATCCATCCATCATCAACCATCATCCATCCATCCATCATCATCCATCCATCCATCCATCATCCATCCATCCATCATCCATCCATCCATCATCCATCCATCATCCATCCATCATCATCCATCCATCCATCATCCATCCATCATCATCCCATCATCCATCCATCATCATCCATCCATCCATCATCCATCCATCATCATCCCATCCATCCATCATCCATCCATCCATCATCCATCCATCATCCATCCATCATCATCCATCCATCCATCCATTATCCATCCATCATCCATCCATCATCATCCATCCATCATCATCCATCCATCCATCCATCCATCATCATCCATCCATCCATCATCCATCCATCATCCATCCATCCATCCATCATCCATCCATCATCATCCATCATCCATCCATCCATCATCCATCCATCATCATCCATCCATCCATCATCATCATCCATCCATCATCCATCCATCCATCCATCCATCATCCATCCATCCATCCATCATCCATCCATCCATCATCCATCCATCCATCCATCATCCATCCATCCATCATCCATCCATCATCATCCATCCATCCATCCATCCATCATCCATCCATCATCATCCATCCATCCATCCATCATCCATCATCCATCATCATCCATCCATCCATCATCCATCCATCATCCATCCATCCATCATCATCCATCCATCATCCATCCATCATCCATCCATCCATCATCCATCCATCCATCATCCATCCATCCATCCATCCATCCATCATCCATCATCATCCATCCATCCATCATCCATCCATCCATCATCCATCCATCATCATCCATCCATCCATCATCCATCCATCATCATCCATCCATCATCATCATCCATCCATCCATCCATCATCCATCCATCATCCATCCATCCATCCATCCATCATCCATCATCATCCATCCATCCATCCATCATCCATCCATCCATCCATCCATCCATCCATCCATCCATCATCCATCCATCCATCATCCATCATCATCCATCCATCCATCCATCATCCATCCATCCATCCATCCATCATCCATCCATCCATCATCCATCATCATCCATCCATCCATCCATCATCCATCATCCATCCATCCATCATCATCCATCCATCCATCCATCATCCATCCATCCATCCATCCATCATCCATCCATCCATCATCCATCATCATCCATCCATCCATCCATCATCCATCCATCCATCCATCCATCATCCATCCATCCATCATCCATCATCCATCCATCCATCATCATCCATCCATCCATCCATCATCCATCCATCCATCATCCATCCATCCATCCATCATCCATCCATCCATCATCATCCATCCATCCGAACCATTTTTGTATATTCGGCTTGATTTAAGCAGAACTCACAAAAAAATACACAAGTTGGATCTTATCTCAGGTAAATAGGGTATAAGTGTTACCGGGTAAATTTCAAATACAACAAATGTTCAACCAATCAATACAAAATTATTAGGTTTTTACCAGAAATCATTTATTCAGATGGATGTTTTGTTTTGTTTTTCTCAGTAACTATATTAAATGTTAAAAATTCCAAGCTGTCTAGTGGAACAGTTGTGGAGTTCATTATTAAGAAAAAGACAAAAAAAATGTCGAAGTTCCACTGTTAAAAAACTGATGTTGGGTAAATCATGTTTGGGGCCAGGTGTGTGGGAATTAATAATAAAAAGGGTCACCTGGACAGGTCGCCAGTCTGTCTCAGCATGTTCAACGCAATACCTGCAAGCCTGGATCATACTTCCTCCACCACCTTGCCTTAGGTGGTGGCAAGGTGGGGTGCCTGAGCTCCAGTCCAATCCGAGCTCTGGACTGGAGCTTTAATTCAACTCCAGTCCATTTGGCGTGAACACTAATTGACCTCTGACCTCTGGTCCTCCAAACCTCAGTATTCAGTTGATGAGAACTCTAGTTTGAATGTGAACGCCAAGCGGACCGAGACCACTCCAAAAGCAGGAAGTGACTACAGCGCAGGGCATTCTGGGTAAATCCAACCAAAGCTAATATGTTAGCCTAGCGCTAGCAGCAGAAATGGCTCCTGGTCTTCAACCAAAGACTAAAGAGAAATCACTAAACTCTGACGCCTCCATCTTGTTTCATCTGGTGAAACAGGAAGTTGCTCTCAGTGTCTTCAGGTTTTAGTGTCGTTTCCTGCAGTGGTTCTTGGTGCAGCGCCCCCACAGGCCAGCAGGGGAACAGGCTGGTTTGGGTCAGAACCAGATGTTCTGGATCCAGTAGAACCGGGTCTACTGGACCATCAGGAGGAAGCCAGCCTGAGAGAAGGTGTGAGGTGTTTAACAAAATCAGGTTAAACCAGAATAAAGACAATAAATACAAACCATTGTTTTTATTGTCTTTATAAGAACTCAGAACAATTCTGGCTTCAAATGCTTCTGGAGATCAAAGCTGAGCTCTAAAGATGAAATAAAGCAAATTACCCAAGGCTGGGTTCGTTGGTCCACATGTTTAGCCACTCTGACTGAGGACATCTCATCTTTCATTCCTCCATCCCTCGATTTCTCTTTCTAGGACACATGTCCCAGGGACATTTGAGGACAAAGCAGCGTCTGCAGCCTCAACAAACCCTCTGAATACTTCTGCAACCGAAGGATTAAACAAATCTGCTCAATGTTCCATAAACATTTTCTCACTCGCAGGAGGTCCCAATGCATCCCTGACTTTTCCTGGAAACTTGGCCCAGACCTCAAACCGCTGTGTTAAACTTTAATGACTCGTGATGAAGACTTCTGATCTTTGTCCTCAAAGTGAGGAGAGTCACCGCAGAGCTTTATGTCCCCACAACATAAGAACAAATAGAAGCCCTGAGAGAGTGTTTGTGACCTTTACCTTCATTCCTTACAACACACACACACACACCCACACACACACCTAAACACACACAACTACACACGCACACACACACACAACTACACACACACACACAGCAGCCAGCGTATCCCTGAATGACTGTGAGCAGCAGCCAAGTCTCTGAGCTCTAATGATGAGGCCTGTGGGAGCTGCAGCTCTGAGCCAATCACAGAGAGGCTGCAGCTCTGAGCCAATCACAGAGAGGCTGCAGCTCTGAGCCAATCACAGAGAGGCTGCAGCTCTGAGCCAATCACAGAGAGGCTGCAGCTCTGAGCCAATCACAGAGAGGCTGCAGCTCTGAGCCAATCACAGAGAGGCTGCAGCTCTGAGCCAATCACAGAGAGGCTGCAGCTCTGAGCCAATCACAGAGAGGCTGCAGCTCTGAGCCAATCACAGAGAGGCTGCAGCTCTGAGCCAATCACAGAGAGGCTGCAGCTCTGAGCCAATCACAGAGAGGCTGCAGCTCTGAGCCAATCACAGAGAGGCTGCAGCTCTGAGCCAATCACAGAGAGGCTGCAGCTCTGAGCCAATCACAGAGAGGCTGCAGCTCTGAGCCAATCACAGAGAGGCTGCAGCTCTGAGCCAATCACAGAGAGGCTGCAGCTCTGAGCCAATCACAGAGAGGCTGCAGCTCTGAGCCAATCACAGAGAGGCTGCAGCTCTGAGCCAATCACAGAGAGGCTGCAGCTCTGAGCCAATCACAGAGAGGCTGCAGCTCTGAGCCAATCACAGAGAGGCTGCAGCTCTGAGCCAATCACAGAGAGGCTGCAGCTCTGAGCCAATCACAGAGAGGCTGCAGCTCTGAGCCAATCACAGAGAGGCTGCAGCTCTGAGCCAATCACAGAGAGGCTGCAGCTCTGAGCCAATCACAGAGAGGCTGCAGCTCTGAGCCAATCACAGAGAGGCTGCAGCTCTGAGCCAATCACAGAGAGGCTGCTGCAGCTCTGAGCCAATCACAGAGAGGCTGCAGCTCTGAGCCAATCACAGAGAGGCTGCAGCTCTGAGCCAATCACAGAGAGGCTGCAGCTCTGAGCCAATCACAGAGAGGCTGACTCCTGGGTGAAACACGAGACCGCCCCTCCGCGTTTCGTCCCAGTGGACGCCGCTGCCTCTGGGACTGGTCCCAGAACAGCTGCTTGTTCCAGGGTTTCCTAGAAGGCTGTGGCACAAACAGTCCACTGACTGCAGGGACCAGCAGAACCAGCAGAACCAGCAGAGGAAGTGAAACTTGGACTGGAATGAATGCGGCTGTAGAGCTTCATTCAGATGAACCAGAACCGGTCCAAAGCAGACGGAGACCTGCATGTCCATCTGGACTAGTTTTTATGCTCCAAACCATCCAGACCAGTTAAGTGGATGTTTGTTCCTGTGGTCCCAGGCCACCTGTCCATCAATCCCAGCAGCTGCTGCCAAACATCTGGAGCTTAAGACTTCGTCCATGTTCCCCTTACGCTCCGTCCCCCAACGCTCCATCCCCCAACACTCCGTCCCCCAACGCTCCATCCCCCAACGCTCCGTCCCCCAACGCTCCGTCCCCCAACGCTCCGTCCCCCAACGCTCCATCCCCCAACGCTCCATCCCCCAACGCTCCGTCCCCCAACGCTCCATCCCCCAACACTCCGTTGGGGGATGGAGAGTTGGGAGAGTCCCCAACGCTCCATCCCCCAACACTCCGTCCCCCAACGCTCCATCCCCCAAACGCTCCATCCCCCAACGCTCCATCCCCCAACGCTCCGTCCCCCAACACTCCATCCCCCAACGCTCCGTCCCCCAACACTCCGTCCCCCAACGCTCCATCCCCCAACACTCCGTCCCCCAACGCTCCGTCCCCCAACGCTCCGTCCCCCAACACTCCGTCCCCCAACGCTCCGTCCCCCAACACTCCATCCCCCAACGCTCCGTCCCCCAACGCTCCGTCCCCCAACACTCCGTTGGGGGAAGGAGTTGAGGGAAAGAGTTGCGGGATGGAGAGTTGGGAGAGTCCCCCAACTCTCCATCCCCAACACTCCGTCCCCCAACGCTCCATCCCCTTACGCTCCGTCCCCCAACACTCCATCCCCCAACACTCCGTCCCCCAACTCTCCATCCCCCAACACTCCGTCCCCCAACGCTCCATCCCCCAACGCTCCATCCCCCAACGCTCCATCCCCCAACACTCCGTTGGGGGAAGGAGTTGAGGGAAAGAGTTGCGGGATGGAGAGTTGGGAGAGTCCCCCAACGCTCCATCCCCCAACACTCCGTCCCCCAACGCTCCATCCCCAACTCTCCATCCCCCAACACTCCGTCCCCCAACACTCCGTCCCCAACGCTCCGTCCCCCTACGCTCCGTCCCCCAACTCTCCGTCCCCCAAACCCTCAGCTCCCTTCAAACTTTTCTGCTTTCGATCCATTTAAGGTTTATTTTCCTGATGCCTTCATATCTGCATCCCACTGTGTGTTAGCTCAGGATGCTGTGTGTGCGTATGGACGTGCTCCACCTTTACCCACCTCGGAGGCCCAGCTTGGCCTTGGTGTCCAGCAGCGCCTGCTGCACCTGTTGTGGCTGCGTGATGTCCACCTGCAGGAGGGTGAGGCGGGACGAGCAGCTTCTGCGCAGAGCTCTGGCTCCGTCTCCTGTCAGGTCTAGAACGGTGGCGAAAACGTCCAGACCCAGAGTCCAGATGTCTCGCCGCAGCGTTCCCAAAGCCGGTGTCGCAGCCTGCAGGGACACAGAGGGAAAACTGGGAATCAATGATGCTTCCTGCTTCCATGCCAAACCATCATTACATTTCATTCTTTCTTGCAAAAGTATTTCATGTAATTTAACAGATTTATCTATCTTCCATTTAAGCTCTTGAGGTGTAAAAACATTGTTTCTGCACCACTTTTATGTCTCACTTTCCTAAACATTAAAAGGATCCAGGATTAGTTTACATTTTGACCTAAATATGTTTTTAATTTTCCTATTAACTAAATGAATGCTGTTTTTATTACACCAAAACTTCAAAAAATGTACGTCTTTTGTTGTTTTTGTCATCCATGGAGGTCTCCATTTTTCACCGATGGGTTGATGACGTCACCAGGCCCGTTCTGTACTGGAGTCTACAGAGTAAACACAGGAAGGCCAACGGTACCCCAGTAGATGTTGACCATATTGCGTTTGACTGGTGTAATTTTACATAATGTCACACCATGTTACTATCGGCTGTGATAAAAAGAATAAAATCTGAGGCGAATCTGGATAATTTCCCACATGAGAGAGAGGAGAGCCAGAGAGGAACACAACCAAAGACCTAATCTGGACCTGGACATTTCTCCACAAAACTTTGAGCCATTTATACCAGCAGACCTTAACGAGCTAACAATAAATGCTGTGCTGAGACGGGCAGAGCTGGACGCTCTTTGAGATGCTAACAGAAGCTATACAGCCTGTCTACTGACATCACCGATCCGGCCGGACATTCCTGTGACAATACTTTATTACAATATAAAAACTAAATAACCTACAGTATTATTACTGTATTGTTTTTACATCTAAGATAAATATTTCCCAAATAAGGTTTATTTTATCACTAATCGTGGTTCCCTTTAAACTGTGATTGATTCTGTCAAAAGGTTTATAAAATCCAAACTAAAACCTGATTACAGACTTCTTAATTGCTTGAACACAAATCTGTACGTCTGATGTTTTCTTTTCTACATAGACCTGCAGAAAAGTTCAGAGGTCAGAAGTGTTTGCTGTGGGTTTATCTTCTGATCCTGAGGCAGCTCCACTCAGCCACTCAGTAACTTTGTTTTAGATGTTTGTGTCAAACTGCTGAAAACTCAGGATCATTTTGCTTCACTGACAGATTTCTATTAATTTTTTATAAATTTATGTGACAGAAACAAACAGCGACATCCTTTCTATGCAGCACACACTGATCTATACATCACATGTAATAGACATAATGTTCTTATTCATGATCGTGTGGTCACAGTTTGGAATTCAGAATCTAAACATGGTGACCTCTGACCCTAAAGCAGGGGTATCAAACTCCAGTGCTGCAGGTTTGGAATGAAACGGCTTCATCACCTCCTCCTGTGTGGATCAATGGCTCATTATTCCAGTCAGCTGATGCAACAGAGGCTCATCTAAAGGTTCCAGGGCCTCCAGTGGCCCCCAGGACTGGACTTGGACACCCCTGCACTAAAGCATCCAGATCTGAAGCTAAAATTGCTCCAAATGAATTTCCTCCATTTGGTGCTTTTTGCTTTGTGAATCTGGTGCAGAAGTAAATCTACAGACTTCAGGTTTGAGTCTTTCGACTAAAAGGCAAAGAAAGTGACGTGTTCAATTCACATCCTGTTTTGATGATATGAATATTTTTGAACTGCCTCGTTTTCTCCAAATGAAGTGAATTCAGAGCAAACCGATCAGAAGCATTTGGTTGGTTTCAACCTGCAGCAGCTGCTTTAAGACTTGGAAGTGGAGAAACTCAACATGCTGGGAGAAACAGGAAAATCATCCATATTGACATCATGTTTTAATTGATGATTCTGGCAGAACCAGCCGACTGTTGGGCCCACAACCACTAAATGGACTTTCAGGTTTCTGATGTCCATCCTCTGTGGTCTTGCGACCCGTTTCGTTGTCCAGCTCTTCCAAGGCCTACAGCAGAACTTTCTGTTCTCTTTGGGCCTCTTTGTGTGGCGGCTCTGCTGGCGAGCGCGGCGAGGCGTTGGCACGCTGCTGCTGCCGTGTCCTTGGAGGACGTCCAGCATCGCGTCCTGAGAAAGGAGCCACTGAGTGGGAGTGAAATCCATCCTCTGCTCGGCTCCCCGCCGCAGGCCGAGCCAGCTGGCTTCACCTGCCGGGTCATTCCGAGTCGCAGTCTGACAGCTGGGGCGATGAAAGCAGGTGTGGGGGTCCGACCAGAGCCGAGGGGCGCTGCGGCACAGTGGAGCAGATTTAAATGTACAGAAACCGAATCAAAGTGCACACTAACTGCCGCTCAGTCAGACACCAACAGGAGCATCAGCAGAGACACAGCATGTTCTTACAACATGCTCACCACAGGGGGGCGCTCATGCACACTGACTGGACCGACTAAGAAGCAGCAGAAACCATGAAGTGGTTTGGAACCAACAGCCTGCATCAATGCGCCTCCCCTCAGGCTTTGCTGCCCTGGGCAGGAAGCCGTTTTACTGCCAGAGTCGCAGCATGAATGCAACACGGCATCATGAATGCAACACGGCATCATGAATGCAACACGGCATCATGAATGCAACACGGCATCATGAATGCAACACGGCATCATGAATGC